CTGGAATGTAAGAAAGTGTGAAGTTTGTGATAGGGCGTCAATGGGATAAGAGGGTAAAGAGAAGATAGATTGACTTACGAATCTCTTCATCATGTAGTTTCATACGAAATGAAAGTCCTGACATTAATCTCATCTTAGGATATTTTTCGAAACCCACATATAGATATAATTCCTTTTTTATTCTTTTTAGTATTGTTTAATTTCCTCTCTTTAAGCCAGTTTTCTACAAACCATTGAAAAATTCTGTATTTTTCTTTTATTCATCTTACCGTTTCATATTCTTTCTTGATATCCTTATAGTTGCTTGCTTTCAAGATTTATTTTTAATTAAGGTTTCGTAACTACCAGTAAGTAGGTTGAGGTCTCTTCACTCTATTTTGTCTAAGGATAAGTAGTCCTATCCTATTTATAAACGAAAAATAAATGGTGTGTTCGATTATTATAGCAAATATAACTTTGCTTCATCGACAATCTTACTAAAGAATGCGATATAGGATTTTCCTGGCCTTCATTGGAATTCACTTCTGCTCTTTGATCCAAGGTGACTCTTGGCAATATGGCGTAGTGATTAACGTGTTGAGATTATACGCTACACTGTCATGGTTTGAGCCCCGATGAGGGTTTTGATAAGATCGAAACGAGATCGAAATTACAGTCCACCCTGGATGCGAACAACCTTTTTGGGAAAGCGAGGCTATGTGAAATTCAATGGCAGCGTCAAATTTGCTCATATCATTGTGGTAAAATTCAACTATCAGTTATTCATCATCTGAAACGAAATAGGATAAATACATCTCATATTTCAAGACTTATGTTTCATATCAGGACTGGCACCAAATGGGGTCTAAATAACTATCAACAACTCTATAATTGTCTAACGCGCCCTAATAGAGACCATGGTATTTATAAACTCGGCTACATTTTTGTTGTTTTTTTTGTTACTGGAATTGAAATCGATTTTATAATTAATAGTTATTTTTATTGCTCTTGTCCTCAGTGTCCTAAATCTGATAGAATGTAAACGTGCTATTAAAGTCGCTGCTGAAGGCCTTTCAAGAGATGGGTCCACATTTTCTCGCCCTGAAATTGGCAGAGCAGATCCAATGAAATCACAAATGGTTGAGCAACTGGAGAGAGCTCGTTTTTCCGTGGCACAGTGCTTGGCTCTTCAACTTCACTTGGGTGCAAGGTAATGCGATTATTTATAGTCAAAGTGTTGACTACCATAACTCCTAGGAATTATGGGCCTACATATAATTGAATTGGAAAATTCCACCTTATATGATTTTTTTGAAAGTTAATGTACTTTCGAATTTTATGCACTAATGAATTTATGTCGCTATTTTTAAATTATATCGTCTGTTACTCAAGATATAAGGTATATTCAGTTTGCACCTGCTATCGCAGTACTAACGAGTTGAACATTATTTACTCTGGCTTTTAAGCACATGATGACACAATCCTACTAATTCATTTATTTTGGAAAGTCAATGACTCGGGAAATATGTGACTCACTTCTCCTCCACTGCATTTAAAAGGGCCAGATTCATGCCGATTTCTTGATAGCTAGTATAGCCTAGTCTTCTTTGAGTCGTGGATCACTTAACCAAACGGATTTTATTTTTACTATCCAAATGATTCACTTAAGCCTAGAGTTTTTACTGAGAGTAGTCCAAATTTGGGTGCATCGGGACACGATGGCATAGATTTGAGATTAAATGAGTGCATAAAATTACTCCTAACTACTATTGGGCATCCAATAAGTTTGCAAATATCCGAATCATTATGATGCCACAGAAACATGTTATCCTGTTTAACTATTGGCTAGGGTAATCTGACTTTTTACCTTTCCAGGATAAATAGGGTGGATTGATAATGTGCTAACAGCGCCAATACAGAGCCAATAGTACAACACTATTTTACATTTTCACAATTATTTTTCTGAGTTCCCCAGTATTTGTTATAGTCATTAGGTCAGAATAAAGTTGCGAGCACCCATTCAGAATTCTCAATTTGTAATAAATTTTCAAGGAATTGTTTTTCCCTTGAGCTAATGATTTTAATCACAAATTTTCGAAAACCCTATGAAGTAATCTATTTTACCTAATGCTTTATCCTACCTATTTTGCTTTTTTTATTGTTAGTATTGTTTTTATTTTCATTACTATTTTTTATAGAGTTGAATTTGCCTGCTCTGCTGCTCTCATTCGTTTTGCCTGTCTCCTGCCAAATCGACTAAGCTTGCTGATTCGCCCACTAATGGAGGTGATTCGTGTTGGATTCCCAGCTACGCCAACCTCTTCAATTCCATCTGCCCTAGCATCCTCAAATGTCTCCTCAGAGCTCAACGATTCCACTCTTAGTTCTGCAGCCGGACTTGATCTGGTCCCTATTGGTCAGACGGTACGTCTTCAGTATCTTGCGGGAGTTAGTCTTGCACGCCTGCTATATGCTGAGTGGATCTCAACTTCACATTTGTCTGCCTCCCCTTCTTATTCCACTTCATTTACAACTTCTGTCGGTAGCGAATGCGACAAACTTCATTTATATAAGAAGGATTGTGTGCCATCCAACCTTGATAAAGCTTCCAACAGTACTAATACTGATTCTACTACCCTACCATTTTGTCAAAACTCTTCCAAGGCAGCCCAAAAAGTAGTGAAAAATCTCATTACTTATCTTTCTTCATCGGATCCAGGTAAACATATTTTACAGTAAATAGTTTCTTTTAGAATTGTGCTTTCTGATGAGACCTTATGTATTTTCAATATTGCATATAAATCTTATTATTGTGTAGCTCACGAGGTCACTTTAATTAAATTTTCTAATCATCATCATCTTCACCTTATGAATAAACCGTTCGTCTAGTTCCTCTTATAAGCTTCAAGATCCGTTATTCAAAGCATAGAAATTCTAGTTTATAAGAAGACCTAGACGGTGTGGCCTTTTGCTCGGTCGCATTCTCCTTTAGCTGTATAGTTGCTAAAACAATATCATAACATTTATAATTTATAGATTTTTATTAGGTCTGATTCAGAACTTGCCACATTACTGTTTGTAAGCATATTGCATACTTGCATCTGGCTACAGAGTCTTGTTACGGCTCGAATTCGTCCAAAATTTCCTTTCTTTTAGGACATCTCTGTAACTAATTATCAAGAATGGCTTGGCGCTACATTATTTTATTCCTTTTCTCTAGTATAGCTCAATTTATTTGATTTAATTTGGCTTCGCCTGATTTTACTCTTCATGAAATTAACTCCTTTCTGATACTCCGCCACGCACTCACCAACACACATCACAGCTTTACTTATTTCAGGTGATGAGGTTATGTGTGACTCTCAAAAACCGCTGGCTAGCTTCTTTCTGCCATCAGAAGTGCCGACAAATATATCCCGTCAGCATATTTCCTCTTCCATAGGCTTGAATCGATCTGGTATTGAAAGAATTGGAGTACCGATCAATCCCACATTTCGTTCTAAACAAATGGTTGCTGGCATGTCGAATACTCTAGATTCACCTGAGGTATAAATAAGGACATTTAAATCTTAATTATATTTTTTTAAATACTGTTTCTCTACCGGATTTTCCTTGAATTTTCGAAGCACTTTTATGGACGGGGCTTTAATTTTTCTGCTAACGTAATACATATATATATAATTATTTATTAATGGCTTCATTTATATGCTTATCCTCTAAGTTTTGTTTTCTCATTACCAGTGTTCTTCCCATTTTCGTCATCTTCAATTCCGAGGCGCCTCGATTGCTTTAAATTGCTTATGCCGCCAATTTTTAGCCGTTCCCACTTCAAAGTTGACAGTATCGCTCAATCCTGCCGACTCTCCAATATTATCTTTGGACGCCATCAAATTTGGCTTACCCTCATTGTGGAAATCTCTTTGGATCAGACCACTTCAATTAGTCTATCAGCTCTTTATGTCTGATCATCCTGATCCCCGCTGTACTGACGATTGTGGGGATATTAATGACTTGCAATACAAATGTGAGCTTTATTTTCTCCATCATAAGGTCCGTTTTAGTATTAGGTCATTTTTAACGGCCTTCGAGCTACAGAAAAAGACCTTCCTTTCTGGTATTAAGTCCCAAAATTAGCACGTGCTACTAATTTTTCAGAGGATAATAAAAGCAACTTAAAGGAATCATCGGTAATCGGGTAGGATAGTTTTGGCGAGAAGCTATTTCACTATGTGAATAATACTATTCAGTAGGACTCGCACAGACACTAGTCACTGTTATCAGTCACTAAACCTTAGGATAACAAAAAATGCCTCGTTATTTAAGGGCAAGATAGGGCCATAACGAAGATGCTTTTATGCATCTATATCTGAAATCTTAATATTGTTCGTTTCAAAAGTATACAGATTATCTCATTCGGGACAACGACACATGTCCCTTAGTTTCTGTTAGAATCCTAGATGCTCACGG